AGACAATAACAGGTGTTGCTGAGCATATAGAGAAATTGGAAACTTTATACTGCTGGTGCTAATATAAAATGTTACTGACACTTCTGAAGACAATCTGGCAGTCCCCTCAAATGGTAACCATAGAGTTTAAACATAGGTCTGAGCCCTATATTCCACTCCTGAATGTATACTCAAGAAAAGTGAAAACATATGTCCATGCAAAAAATTGTACAGCAATGTGCATAGAAACACGATTCATAATATTCAAAATTTGGAAACAATCCAAATGTCCATCAGTTGATGGATGGAGAAATAAAATGTGGTATACCGACAGTGCAAAATCATTCAGCCATAAAAAGAAAGGCAGTGCTAATACATGCTACAATGTGGATGAATGTTAAAAACATTATGCTAAGTGAAAGAAGCCAGACACAAAATTCCACATATATTGTATGATTCTACTTAGTTGAAATGTCTAGGATAGGCAAATATATAAGGACAGAAAGTAAGTTAGTTGTTGCCTAAGGTTTCTGGGGTTGTTGGAGTGGAGAATCACTGTTAAAGGGCATGGAATTTCTTTATTTTTTTTTTTATATATATCAAAAATGTGTGGGGGTGATGAATGCATACTTCTGTGAATATATAAAAAACATTTAACTGTATGCTTTAACTGTCAATTTTTTGCGGGGCTGGAACACAGAAAGCCGTAGTCGGACAGGCAAAGGGCTCCCGGAGCGGGGGTTTAGATCTAAATTTAGAGCTCTCATCCACTGTTAGGATTTTGGATTTTATTCTGAATGAAATGCCTTGGAGGCTTTTGCACAGAGATGTGACTTGCTTTTTTGGCTACCGTGTTGCAAACAGACGGACTTGGCCATGAGGGGAGGCAGGAAAAATAGCTGCAGCTTCGGTGATAGATTTGAGAGATGGCGGTCGCTTGGACCAAGCTGGTAACACCGTAGGTAGTGAGAACGGTTTGATTCTGAGTACTTTGTTCTGAGGGGAGAGCCAACACGATTTACTCACCATTTGTATGTGGGGTGTGGGAGAAAGGGAAATCAGAGATGACTCCAGCAGGTTCGGCTTGGGCAACTGCTCTGACTGAGTCATGAACAAAGTCCTTCATATCTCATTGTTTTCTTTAATTATAATGATTTCTTTTATATTTCTTTCCCTTATTTTGAGTTGCTGTATTTTTTTCAACTTTCTGAGTTGCGAGATTAATTTACCTAATCCATATCTTTCCTTTCCCCCTAATATTTGCATTAAAAGTTATGTGCATCCCCTCGTGCTGTTTTTGCTTTTTACTCAATTTTGGATATGTATTGGTTTTATTGTCATTCAGTTTTTAACATCCTCTGGTCTTCACTGAGACTAGAGACTAGGGACTCCATAACCCATACACACATTACTTAAAAGGGAGGTTTTAAATCTCCAAATGTATTTCAAAATTATTGTTGTTATTGATTTCTAATTTTATTACATTTTGTTTAGCTAATGTTGTCAGGATGCTATTGATTCCTTGATGTTTGTGGGCGTTGCTTTAGGACAACTATGCTCGTTTAAAAGGACTCAATTGTCTGTCTGGTGGAGGCAGCCTTCCGTATGTGACCAATCGAGCAAATTTATTCATTTATGTCATTCAAATCTCATGCTCAAGCAAAGTCTTTTCATCTTTTCTTCAAAAAGCCAAAGGCTAGAGAAGGCAGATGAGGTCGTAGAATGAGGCATCTTTCTCTCTTGTGTACCGTGTACCAAGGGAGCTCAAATCGCATGCTGAGGAGGGGGAGGGGTACACTCTTAGAGTGGGGCTTCATCCAGGGAGTGTCCAAGACCTGGCTGCTCAGAAGGGATGTGCAAGGGCACTTGGGGACCAGGTCTGGGGCCCAGAAACACAAGTGGTGAAACTGCTGATGCACCTTAGCACTCTCTAAGGGTGGGGATCCCACAGTCTACTAAGTACCACATCCCAGAGCACCCTGGATCCACACACTTGTTGTATAAGTGCTGCCCACTTACCTCTGAAGGCAGATAACCATCCCAGAAAACTAAAGTTGCTGGATTCTTGGTGAAGGGGCCTGCACAAACCAAAGTCTGCAATCTGGACCTCTCCTCTGATTCTGTGAATGGCTTTGTCCCAGGGCAGGAATGTGAGGTAGCTGCTAACAGCGCCCCGACTGGGTCCGTGTGCTGTGTGTCAGTGTGTGCCCTGCTGCTCCTTCTGGTCTCTCCCTGTAAGACACGCTGGGCGTCAGGAAACCCGCCTCTTTACACAGAAGTGGATGTGGCTGTGGGATTTTGGATCTCGAAGATGGGCTAGATTTTTAGTTCCATGGAAAGCAGCAGTTTCATGCTGCCTTTTTCAGTTCAGTATTTTAAACCATCCTTCACTGACCTTGACCATAAAATATACTGTTTGAAGGTGTCCGTTGGAAGGTGCTGTAGAGTAGATGTGGCTACTCTACCATCTGGCTAGGCGGCCGTGCCCTGGGCACTGGGAGGCTAGGGAGCAGTGCTGGACTGCTCACGAGGGTGAGAAGTGATGAGGCTGGAGTGGGGTGTTCAGACCAGGGTGAGCCTAGTCCCCAGGGCAGCTGCTCATTTCTTTGCCTGGGGTTCTTTTGAGAAACCTGTGTTAGTTTTCTAGGGCTGCCATAACCAAGAGCCACAGACTGGTGGCTTAAACCACAGTCCTGGAGGCTCAAAGTCTGAGATGAAGGTGCAGTAGGTTGATTCCTCTGAAAGCCCTGGTGGAAGGGTTTGTTCCAGGCCTCTCTCCTTGGCTTGCAGATGGCCATCTACTCCTTGTGTCTTCATAGGGTTTTTCCTCCTCACATGGTCCAAATTCTTACAATGTGCCCTCCTCTTATAAGGACATCAGTCATATTGGATTAAGGACCACCTTAACAATCTCATTTTGATTTAATTACCTCTGTAAAGACCCTACCTCCAAATTCGGTCACATTCTCAGGTACTGAGGGCTACAACTTCAACATATGAATTTATGGGGGGACGTGATTTAGCACATAATGATATCCATATCGCTATGAGCTTTAATCTCCTCTAGGTGAGCAATATTTATATTCTTCTCTGGCATTTTACTTTTAGACACGAAAAAAATTCATTTCAGTTACAGAAATGATGCTCTTTAATAAATGAGTCTGATTAATGCGCTCAATGATTTATAATACCTGTATGCCCCTGTTTCTTTCTTCCTTTCAAGAACATTTTTCTTCCTTCTAAGAACAGATGACCTCACCTTGAACTGTTCTTGTTTTTTTTCCTTTAGGAGATGCACCTCCTACCCAACTGCCAGAGTGCACTGACTTCCAGAACGCCAATCTCCTCCGAGGCACCAATCTCAAAGTCCGGTTTCTCCTCTTCACCCCTTCGCATCCTAGCTGTGGGCAGCTGGTTGAAGAAAGTAGTGACATCCAAAACTCTGGGTTCAATGTCACTCTGGGAACCAAACTAATTATCCATGGATTCAGGTAAGAGTTAAGCAACCAATAGGATCACCTCAGCTAAGAACTAGAAAGTGACCATAATGCCAAAGGAAGTTAATGGGGAGCAAAAGAAGAAATGGATTTACTGTCACATATTCCATCCCTCATCTGCTGTCTTTGAAGACGTCTCCAGTCAACATGAACACACATTATGTTGTTCATTCTTGTTGGCCATATACGTTACTCCTCCCCCTCAGTCTTGTCTACACAGTCCCCAACAGTAAATATGTGTGATCCAGGACAAGTCACTCTAGCACACAGAGCCTTGGTTTTCATAACTGAAGCATAGGTTCTATGATTCGTCTCAGCCAATGACATCACAGGCTTTGCAGTCACTCAGGGGTAACATATGGTGCTTTTACCAAGGGTTTTATTTCCTCTTCTTCACTTCTTCCCTGGTTACATGACCTAAGAAACTTCTACTTATAGGTGCTGCTTCCATCAGACCCAGAGATTAGCATTTCTCGGGAGCCAGACACTTCTCTTCTTCAATTTTTTTGATGTTTTACAGTCCAAGTTTTGTTGTAATATATAGCCACTGAGTCTCAACTCAATCGCCATTCTTCCTTTCACCATCTTCTCTCCAAAGCCCACTGACAAGGCTAGAAACGGAAAGGTTGCTGGAAGGAGGCAAGGGGAGAAGGTGGTGAAATAGGAGCTCTACAGAGCAACGAGAGTTGGGGAGCACGCTGTGAAGAGGTGGGCACCAAGGCACTCCACAAAGGATCACCATTTCCTGGTCTCTGGGCTCTCTGCTTCTCAAATCCCTGAAGTGCAGGCACTCAGCCCCATCCCTCCTTAGGCATCCCTCCTCCCCTTGTGCCAAGGTCTCCTCTAGTAAATCTTGAGTTCAACCCCTGTCCAAGACTGAGTGTGTACCCCCAACCCAGAGATAGCCAGTAGAGCTAGAGAGCTCATCAGGCTCGTCACTCTGTCTGCCCTAGTTCCCCCGAGGCCACATTGCATGGCACATACCCAGTCTGTGCTCCTCTGTCCACAGGAGCGTGCTCTGCTTGTTCCCGTACCATGGGCCATTGAGAAAACTTCTTTTCCAATCCCAACCTCTTGGGAAAGCTTTCTGAAATTTTTCTATCATTCTCCTTTTCCTAGAAAAGTGTTATCATACTGTAAATTCCAGAAGGATAGGAACTATATCTTGCTTTTCTTTATTTCTCACAAAGCACCTAGCAAACTGCCTGGCCCATTTGCTGAATGAATGAATGAGTGAAACTGACCTGAGTTCTGAGCCCTGGCATGAGGCTGCATCTCCCTGGACAAAAGGTCCCCTCTATAATTTACACAAAGCCTGCATGTGTGCAGGCAGCAGCCCTGGTCACTTTGGGATTCTGTCCTTCCTGTGCTCAAAGAGCTGTGTGATTTATTGCAGATATACTCTCTTCTCTAGTTTTGATTGTTTTTTTCTGGGTTTATTCTGTTAATAGAGGCTTCCACGACAATGCATATCAGCTTGGCAGATAATTTTCCTATCCTTTCTTGGCCCCACGTCTAGAGCTTTAGGAACAAAGCCTTCCTGGATCAATAAATTCATTGAGGCCCTTCTGCGGGCAGCGGATGCGAACGTGATTGCCGTGGACTGGGTTTACGGCTCTACAGCGGCCTACTACTCGGCCGTGGAAAATGTGGTCAAGCTGGGACTCGAGATCTCTCGTTTCCTCAGTAAACTCCTGGTAGGTGCAGAGAGCTTGGGGTGAGTTTTTTCTGTTTATGGAGGGGCGAGGGGTCAGAAAGAAAGAAACGACACATGAGGAGGAGCTTTAGGACAGAAGCAGAGCCACCCAGTGGCTTGTGGGGCTTCGGTTCAAATCTCAGCTCTGCCACTTACAGTGCTGACCTTGGGCAGGTTCTGGAACCTCTCTGAGCCTCCCGCTCCGCCTCTGTAAAATGTGCCACTGCACCTTAGATAGAGAGTACCGAAGGCCAGCTTTTTTAGTCACTCAACAGGGAATGGCCACAGTCATTACTCACACACTTTGGGCACCAAAGGGAAAGTGAGGGGATTGTCAAGGGAAAGTGAGGGGAGGCCAGGAAGAGGGCAAGTGATACATGGGATGGGAATTCTGCCTCTTTTTCCTGAAGCCTGTGTGCGAGTGTAGCATACCCGGGGCCTTCTGCTTCTGAAACCACAGGGAAAAGTGTGACCTTGTGAGGCCAGGGGCCACTGGGGCCCACATACAGCTCCCTGTAAATGTCCCGTTCTAGGTGCTGGGTGTATCGAAGTCCTCCGTCCACATCATTGGTGTCAGCCTAGGGGCCCACGTTGGGGGCATGGTGGGACATTTCTACAAAGGCCAGTTGGGACGGATCACAGGTAACATTCTTCCCTGCCTGCCGTCCCAGGTGTAGAGGTAGAGAGAGAATGCCTAGAAGTGCCTTTGCTGAGGCGAGCAGGGGGGCGGGTTGAGTCTTTGGTCTTGTGACCACAGGGTCATCTATTACCAATACAATTTATTTATTGTGGTCCTTTTGCATGAAACGGTATTGTGTTATTATTGCAGGATCTCTAATGTCGGTGTAAGAGGCCATGTTTTGCTTTCTAAGCCTCAGTTTCTACATCTGTAAAATGGGTTGTAACAGCCCGTATTTCCTTGGCCCACTGTGAAAATCACTGTTAGACAGTTTTGCTAAATATCTGCAAAGTTCAGGGGACTTTAGGCTCCAGGAACCATTCTCAATCCATAAGGGACTAGAGTTGTGTGGTAAATACCCCAGCTTCCTGGCCCTTCCATGGAACAATTCTGAGGCCTGTTCTACAGAGTCCCTCAGAGGGGCCCAACGGGAGAGGACTCAGTTGCCCAAGGTGATAACCCAGTCATTAAAATTTTCCTTCCTTCTCTGAGTCATTTTCCCACTCCCTCACTATGCTTTCTTCTATCTTCTCCCAAATAAGCTACTTGCCCTTTAAATGCCTGTCTCAGGGCCTGCATTTTGGGAGGAAGAGGGAAAGGGATCCAGACTAAGACGTGAGGAGAGTAAGATTTACTTCACTGTGTTCTTGTGGGGACTCAAGTGTGTGAAACTGCCCAGCAGGAGGCCTGGCACATAGTAACTGCTCACAAAGTATAGCTACTGTTATTCTTACATGAGGATTAATATCACTCACATTAACCCTTGCCAAATGGTTGGTGTTATCTAGCTCATTTTACAGCCAGAGAAGCTGGGTTGTTGAGAGGTTAGAGACGACACAGTGGGGTTCTCTGGGTAGGGTGGTCCTGAGCTAGTTCTCCACCCTTGGGTCCTGGTTGGACTCGCTGACCTGAACCGGAAGGGCTGCTGGGCTGGGTTGTGGTAAGTCCATGAGGGTTCCTGCAGCTGAGAGGAAGCCCCTGACATCAGTCTATCCTTGCAGGTCTGGACCCCGCTGGACCAGAGTACACCAGAGCCAGCCTGGAGGAGCGCCTGGATGCTGGAGACGCCCTCTTCGTGGAAGCCATCCACACAGACACGGACAGTGAGCTGGGGTGACCTTCCTGGGGTTGGGGAATCAGCATAGGGCAGGGGCTAGAAGACTGGCATCTAGCTGTGTGGCCCTGGGCAGATTCCTTCCCGCTCCGAGCTTCTGTTGCGCAGTGAGGAGTTTAACAGTGGTCTTGAATGTCTCTTCCAGTTCTGTCAGTCTCTGACACTGAGGTGAATGGTTTTATTTTAAGCCAGCTGCAGGCAGGAAGATTCTCATTCGTGGACCAAAAATGTTTGCTCGTGAGTCACATTCTCTGATTCAACACTAAACCTGTGCTGAGGTCATACTTCTGAGGGCACTGCTGCCTGGTTGATATATGGGAAAGTCATGCTGCTTTTTCAGGGTGAATGTGCCTAGCCCCAGGGGATTGGGGCATTCCACTCCCGGGGCAGATATGCAGGCCTCTCAGTACTTCCTTCCTCCCTGGAGGATGAGCCCAGCCCTTCAGTCCAGTGAAGAACGAGAAATTCCCCCTCCAATAATGATAGGCACAGGGAAGACACCCCTCCTCCAACTCTGATTCCATTATGAGCAAATGAAGCTCTTCTGACCGGCTGGTAAAGGAGGTGAGCAGTCCTTCTCATTTCTACTTGATATCAAATACTCACGGAGTCTGTCCCCGGCCCTGTGCTCAGCATGGTGGGTGCAAGAAGAAATAACGTCTGTCTCTGACCCGAAGTGTCTGCAGTTCGAGTGAGAGATGTCTATGTCTCATTTCCTTTGGTCAGAAGCATTTTTTTAGCATCCATAACTCACAGATTCATGATTCTAGAAGAAACCATGCAGTCATCTTGTTCAACCCTCTTTCTTATCTTCGTTTCATTAGGAACCCGAAACCCATAGGCCTCTGCTTAGCTGTTGGGTTAATTAATTGCATTAATTAACAGGGTTAACCCCTTCTGTCACTAAATTTGCTAAATAGGTGACTTATTAGGTGCCCATTTACCTGAGCTAGGCCTCCCAATCCCCTTCAAAGCTGGATCTCTTCCTAACGTGACCCCCCAAATTATTCCATTTATTCATCAATCTTTATAATTATTTCATTTATTCAATCAATCTTTATAATTATTCCATTTATTCAATCTTTATTGAGCTATTTAGTAGGCACTGAGAATACTGCAATCAACAAGACATTGAATAAAGTCCCTGCCCATGTGGAACATATAGGCCAGTCGGGCAAGCATGCATTCCTTTATTCCTTCAATAACTATTTCTTAGGCACTCACATGTGTCACGTACTCTGCTGGTATTGGGGACTCAGCAGAAAAAAAAGACAAGTAATGGCCTTGCTGTTGTGGAGCTTACAAACAAGTACACAGATAAGATCATTACACGTTGTGGTTATGATAATGAAGGATGTGGGACAGATGTGACTTGGGCAGGGGGCCTACTTCAAGTAGGATTATTGAAGAAAGTCTGTCCAAGGAGGCGATATTCAAAGTGAGACTTTGCAGATGAGCATGAGTCAGCCCTGGGTAGAGCTGGGAGAACATTCTAGGTGGAGAGGACAACCAAAAGAAAAGCCTGGACATGGGTGGGGACAGGAAAGAAAACGCCGTGGTTAGAGGACAGTGAATGAGGTCCCGAGCGCAGTTAGAGAAGAGGGAGCAGGACCAAGCTGGGCATGCAAGGAGTTTAAGTTTTATTCTACGATCAGTGGGAACCAGGCAATGACTTGAACTTCTTTAAAAAGTTTCTGTGGCTGCTATGCAGAGGATGGACTGCAGGAAGGCACAAAGGGAAGCCCAGAGGCTCTTTGGAGGGTGTTTGCAGTGGTAGTCTGGGTGAGAGAGGATGGTGGCTTGGGCAGAGGTGGTGGCAGTAGAGACAGAGAGAAGTGGAAAGATTCAGAATAGATTTTGGAGGTAGAGCTGACCGGCCTGGTGATGGGCTGGATGCAGGGAGTGAGAGAAAGGAAGGAACTGAGGATGACTTCTAGGTCATTGCTTAACCCCTGGATAGATGACATTAATCAAATAATACCCATCAATTGCTTACAACAGCAACAGATGATATGAAGGAGAAAATCAGGGTCTTTGGCAGCTGGATCTGACCCAGTCAGAGGGGTCAGATATGGTCACAATGATGAGATGAGGGCAACAGGCTCTCGAACTCATCTCTTCAGAGCCAGGTCATACTTCTGCTCAGTCAGGAGAGCACAAAAATATGTTACGCGGGAGACTGTGGAAATGTGGCCTCAAACGTATTTATCTGAAGTGTTGCCAGAAGCAAAATAGAAACTATTTGACAAGGAAATTTACCAAGCTTATAATAGTTCCTGATTTATAAAAACACGTGTTAAGGGATATTCTTCCTGATTTTATTTAGCAAATATGAGTATCTTATGAATTTATTCTTCTCTGCTTCCTTTGCTTCTTTTGCTTCCTTTGCCCCTTTAGAAAACTGAGAGCTAGTTCTGTAGGCTCACAGCACTCGGGAGTGAGGTGGGCACCCATGCAGCACAGACAGTGGGTGGGCTTCTGAGGTCAGACCTTGGGCTCTGCCACCAGCAGACCCTGCTGTGGGACATGGGACATATGCCCCTGCAGTAAGAAGTTAACGGGGCTCTGCCTCCTTTCAGATCTGGGTATTCGCATTCCTGTCGGACATGTGGACTACTTCGTCAACGGAGGCCAAGACCAGCCCGGCTGTCCCAGCTTCATTCATGCAGGTAAGAAAGCCAGAAAGTTGGAAAGTTACCCTAGAGACTGGAATTCACCACCAGCCTTCATGTAGAGTCATCCAGTGTGACCCACAGAGGGTTTTCCTTCCTGTGTCCTTTGCCAGGTCCCATAAAGCTTGCTCAGCACTTATCGAATGATTGTCTTTGGAGCCCAGGAATTCTGGGGGAGGAGTGCCTGAAGTGAAAAGCCTGCACCATGCTTATGCTGCCCTCCCACTTCTTAGGCCCTGCTGTGATCTAACATCCCTCAAGCCAATAAGCTCTTCTTCCCGGGCCCAGCTTTGTGGCATAAGTCTACACTAGCTACATCCTCTGCACAGCCTAGTTGTGGCAGAAGCAGATCAATTTGCCCAAAGCTGCCTGGCTAAAGGATCAATTCTCTGCATGATCTTTTCCCCAAATTTACTAAATTTAACAGTTCTCCAAAATTGTTTTCAAGATAATTTTCCTGAATACGTTTAATGAATATATATTTCTTCTCTTCTAAATATATTCCTCTGGAATGTTCTTTTTGAATATATTCACTGGATATATTTTTCTTATTATCATTTCAAATAATATTAAAATTATCAAACAAGGGTTGTTTACTCTTCTTATATTCTTCTTATGAACATAGCCAACCAATCATCATTTCATATGGGAATTTTACCCTGACTTCTGTTGACTGTGTTTTTAGTCTTTTCCTGCTCTGCCAATGTTTTAACATTTTGAGGATTCTTTTGACAATTTTATTGAATACTCATTAATCTAATTTACCAAATTTACTGATTTTCCCCAAAACATGTTTCTTTTAACAATTTATAAATTTTCCAGCAATTCTAATTAAATGGGATAGTTTGGTTTTAACGGCTTTTGAAATTTTCTGTGGCATTCTAGTTGACCACTTTTCATTTTTGTTCATAACACAATTTGAGAACTGTTTAGTTTGTGTCTGTCCCAGCTCCCTGCTGCAGTTAGAAGAGCTTGGCCTTAGACAGTGTCCCAACCATGGAGAAAGGAAAGTCAACACACAGCTCAGATTTGGTGTAGGTCCCTCTTAGTGGGTCCCAAGGTGAAGGAAAAGTTTGAAGACCGAGAACTCTGGAGTTGTGGCTCACTACAGACCTCTTAGCCCCAGCCGATTCATCCAATGTGAGTTATTGCAACTTTTAAAATAATATACAACAACAATAACAAGAAAACCAAGTTTCTGTTAAATTGGGACATTTGGCAAATTCAGCATATCAGTCCTTTGGCCAAGTGAACCTCAGCACATTTGCTTTCAGAGATTGACCATGAGCTGTTGCTGACTCCCTTCATTGTCTCATTCCAGGGTTGGGTGTAACAAGGTTGTAAACATTTGGTTGTGTGGGTGATGATACAGAAGATAAAAATGTGCAGACAGATATCCATTTTGAGAAGTAGGGTCGGAGTCTTCAACTCTCCATATGCTCCCATTTTCAGAAAGAGAGTTTGCATGATCACGGAAGAATGGGTTTCAAAAGAAGCAATTTTCTTGGTAGATTAAGCTTAGGTATCCTAGGAAAATGAAAAGGAAGAGGGAGAGTGCAGTAACTATGCCAACTAATATTTTTAAAATGTGGCTCTGGGGACATCCCATGTATTTATAGCCTGCTGGAATGCAACATTCAATAGAGTTACAATAAGTAACACAGAGGGAGTTTCCATTTGTCTTGAACTGAAACCTTTGCTGTGTTTTTCCTCCCTGTTCAGGCTACAGTTATCTGATCTGTGATCACATGAGGGCTGTGCACCTTTACATCAGCGCCCTGGAGAATTCCTGTCCGTTGATGGCCTTTCCCTGTGCCAGCTACAAGGCTTTCCTTGCTGGACATTGTCTGGATTGTTTTAACCCTTTTCTGCTTTCCTGTCCAAGGATCGGTAAATGCCACTCTTTCGTCTTCCTTTGACAATTTGGGGAAAGTCCAGGTCTTGCTACTTATCACCTCTTTAAGTCCTGATCTCCTGTGGGGAAGAAATCTACCCGACTGGGGTGAAGAAATTAACCGATGAGGTGTTCAGCCTGTTCTCACCTGGGAGATGGCATTTGGCCCTCTGTATTCTACCCTTCACCCTTTATGCTTCTGCCTGATGCCATACTCACTCTACACACATCCTTCACACACAGCCCCTTGCCCACAAGTCTGGTCTCAGGACGCTCTCTAGAAACATCAGTATAGTCCAGAGCGCCTGACCCCTCTCTCAGAAAGGATGCTTGCTATAGGTCTTTCTGGCTAGGCCAGCCATTCTCCAACTCCTTACAGACTCTAAATCAAGGTGTTGTGGGACAGTCCCCAAGACTGGCACACGTGGCCCACTGTAGAGGTGTGAAGCTGTGGTGGCCATGCGCCAACTAGAGAGGTGCCTAATTTCTGGTCAGGTGGAGCACATTCCTGAATGATCCAGGCCAGTCTGGGGAGAAGAGCTCCAGGAAGGCAGAGGGATCTGACCTCATCTCATCTTGTGCAGATTATTGCTGCAAATATCCTGGGGCTATCCAGGATGAAGGAGTCCAGGAGAAACTCCTGGGAAGTGTAAATGGTTCCTTCCCCCTTCCTCACTCTCCCACTTACCACCCACATGTGACAGTCCGGCTGGTGTGAGAACCACTTCACACTGTCTGCCCAGCCTCATCTCTCACTATACCTTCCATGGCAGTGAGCCCTCCAGGATGCTAACTACTCATACTCCTGAGAGTTTTTCATGTTTCCTCACCCCGTGGGCCTCTGCCCAACTGTACTTTCTATCTGGAATGCCCTTCCCCAACTTTCCAACCACTATTCTTCAGGTCAAACACTTCCCGGGGCTCCCACTGCACAGGACACACATGCCGTTAGAACAACTGTCATATAGATTGTTATTTACAAGTTAGAGACCTAATTTCAAATTTCTTATAAATATCTCCGGAGAATACGCCAGCTGATCTGAAGAATGTGCTTGCCGTTTCCTTGTGTGTCCATCCTCTGCTGGACTGAGTTGCTTGTATCCTGGGACTTACCATAGGGCACGGCACACAATGAGAGTACAGTGCAGTTGTCTGTAGAATGAACGGGTGCATGAACTAATAATAATGGCTGGATACCACAGGACCCTGAAATGGCCTCCTCAGGGCTCTGCTGTCTTTGCTTCTTTATTTCCAGGGCTGGTGGAACAAGATGGTGTCAAGATAGAGCCACTTCCCAAGGAAGTGAAAGTCTACCTTCTGACTTCTTCCAAGGCTCCATACTGTGGTGAGATGGGGGAAAATACATGGCTCAGCTCTGCGAGTGTGCCATCCAGCAGAATCCAGGGCTCCAACTTAGGCTGTATCCACCTCAGCATGGCGGCCAAGGTGGGAAGTGGAAGACTGGGGCAAAGATGTCACGAGAAGTGGGTGAAGTCGCTAATGGTCTTAGATAGAACCAGAACTTTTGGAGTCAGTCAGTCCATTGCTCTACAGATGAGGTGTTGGTGGTTTCTTACTCTCTCTATACTGATCCTAATTCCTCCCCTCCTACCACGGAAATCTGCCCTCCAACGTGTACTCCCTCTAGAGTGGTACTTGGGAGTCGCCTCTGGCTTCTTCCTTCCTGCCATACTTCTTTGCCCCCTCCTTGTGCCCATCCTGTGTGTCTCCCACCTTGGCAGCCCTCCTAGGTCAGGCTCCCTGAGGAATATTGATCCTTGCCCTCTGCCCTCCTTCCCCTTCGTATACATATTCCAACTGTGCACTGTTGCTTCTAACCACTGCATTTCATTGCAGCTAAGATGCCAGTGATTGCAAAAGATGTTAAACATGAGAGGAAAGTGTGTCTTAGAATCTGTGAAATACGTTACAGGTGGACCCATCTGTGCTGTTTGCATCTCAACGAGGCTGACTGTACTTCCTGGCTTACACTTGTGATCCTGGGGTCCTGTCTGGTTTATTGTGTGTACAGGACAAAAGTATGCTGGTTTGGATGGTAAATTATATGGCCACCCTAATTCTAACTGATTTTCTGATCAGCTCACGTCTGGTTGGTGGAGGGATCTTTGTGGCCATACCTTTTCGGTGCTAGAAGGCCTGGTGCAGTGGGAGTAGAGCCCAAAGCTCAAACTCTGGTCATGCAGACCTGGAGTTGAATCTCCTCTTCTCCACTTGCCAGCTGTGTGATCAGGAGCAAGTTCCTTAACTTTTCTGATCCCCATATCATATGAAAATAGAAACAATAACAGTACCTACTTCAAAGAATCAATTGTGAGGATAAAATAAAAGGGTATACAGAAGTCACCAGCACAGCGACTGGAACTCAATAAGTAGTAATTCCCTTCCCTTTGTCCATGGGAGAATTTGGGAGACGAGATGGGGGTGTTTCTAACTTCCGGCCAGAGAGAATTCATGGCTACCTCTTAGGAATGAGGTGGGTTAGGAGAGTCAACTGTGGGTGTTCACAAATGTCAGCTCACTTGACAGCCCAGCTCTGAGAGGTGGGTGTGAGGAAAGGGAGGCTCTGAGGGGCTAAGTGATGTGCCCACAGCTGGGGCTACACGGCTGCGGGAAAACGTCAGGATGCAGCTCCAGGTCCTCCCGCTCCCCCATCCGCACCCTTCCCATGCCCGTCTGCCTCCCCTCTCGCCCCCTCTTCTGAGAACCTGCTGTCAGTAGGTCATATTTCTCAGCCCGTGTTCTAACCAAGACACACACAGGCACCCAGCTGCCACAGGCAGGGCAACAGTTGCCTCCTACACACACGACTGGGTCCCCGACACTGTGTGTATGGGGGAGGGGCATTGCTATATTTTATGAGTCAATTATTTAGGATAACATAGGTCCTTTTTGGTTCTTTCAAAATCACACCACTAGGCTGATGTCACCAAGCAGGGAGGAGTGGGACCTTATAGCGATACAAGCAATAATAAAAACTGACATGCATTGACTGCTTACTTGGCACAGGCACCCGCTAAGGACTTTCTATGTATTCACTCATTTAATTCTCATTCAGACCTGTGGGGTATCTGTTTTTATTATCCCCAATCTGCTCTTGAGGAAGCTGAGGATCTGCGTGACAGGTAATCTGCTCCAGGTCCCACAGCGACTGGGAGGCAGAGCGGAGATTCCTGACCACGCTGCTGCTGCGCTTTGGGGCTTTTTGCGCGTTGTCACCACTGACCTCTGGCTCAGTCATCTGCTCTGCTTTGCTTTCTTAGTGCATCACAGCCTCGTGGAGTTTTACTTGCAGGAGCCGAGAAACAAGGACACCAGCATCGCGGTCACCTTTCTTAGCGGCAATGTCACCTCTTCGGTCAAGATCACCATGTACGTAAGTGTCCCACGTGGCTGGTCTCCCTCCTTAGGACTTAGTCGCCTTTCCAGTTTCAGTACACACACACGCGCACGCGCACACATGTATATCTCGGGTCAGGCACTGTGTGATCGTGGATGGGTGGGCGGAGCCGACCAGCCTTGGGGTGGGGGTGACCGCAGCATCCAGAGATGCGTGAGGGGCAGCTATTCCAGGCTCAGAATCAGTACTAGGTCCAAGCGTAGTGTATGCAGACTAGAGCAGATGAGGTGGGCAGGCAGCAGTAATAGGGTGCCCCAACAGGTGGTGAGAACGTGGGAATTGGGTCCCCAGTAGGAAACAGTATTGGGGAGTCTAGGCAGGGGGCATCAGAGACGTCAGCAAGTAGAAAGGCCTCAGCCACTAGCCCAGGGAGGGCTGTCCAGAGCTGGGGAAGCACCCGCTCCGGGCAGGAGGCCGTGCTGGTGGGTTACCAGAATAGAGTCCCAGGCAGAGGGTCAGTTAGCCAAGGAGTGCAAGGTGAGGGCCGGCAGGGCCTGATGCTGGTGGTGCCAGTCCTTGAAACTGGGCTGAGGATTTCCTTCCTTTGTTGAGTCACATGTGCACCAAGCAGGCCTGAGAAGAAGGGGCAGAGAACCTCACTGTGGGAAGCCACAGGCCAAGGAGGGCTTAGGAACTCAGCAGCAGCAGAGCGTGTGTCTTTAAAAAGCAATTGGTTAGTTTCTCACAGGCCTGCAGGAGACGGAGTCATCAGACAAGTCACGGTCTCAGTCAGGGTCCACTGCAGACCCAGAGCCCAGACTAGGTCCAACAGAAGGAATCTGAGACAAGGAACTCATTACAAATATGTTGGGAGAGCTGAAAACCCAAAACGGGGATGGGGAGGCAAGGCAGAGATCAGCAACAGGAGTCACTCCCAGCTCAGGACTAGAGGGACAAAGCTAGGGATGATGCTGGCAGAGCACTGAGCGGGATTCCACAGGGAGGTGTGCTTGGCAGGAGCTGGAAGCCGGGAGGAAACGCAGTTGCTCCGTTACCACTGCCCAGAGCAGTTGCCCACCGTGAGTGCCTCCTGTGCCTTAGACCTCCCTGGAACCTGCTGGCAGGGGAGCCTGAGAAATATGGTTTGCAGCAGAATGGCTGGAGCACAGACAAGGAGATGACCAGGGAGCACACATAGAAATGGACACTTGTCGACAGAGGCAGATGGCATGAGGTCATGTTAGACGGAGCCTGACCGAGTGCGAGGAAGTGACGTTTGAGGAAAGGTTTGAAGGATTTGCAGGAGGTACTCAGGCAGGGGGTGAGTGAGAATGTGACACTGGGAGCAGACAGCAGGGGGATGACAGGAGGCTGGCGTCAATCAGGGCCAGACCAGTCCAGGTCTTGGAGCAAGTTCGGGATTTTGGCTTTTATCCTGAGAGCAGTTTGGGGAACCACTGGGAATTTTAAACAAGAGAGCGACCACATCAGATTTGGGCATAGAAACGTTTCTGAGGCTGCGGTGCTGGACGTTAACCTCACCGTCAGGGAAGAGGAGTTTCTGCTGGGAGGGGCGAACTACCTCTGGGCTCCCGAACACCTTGCCACCAGCCAGGGTTCCAGCTCCCCCAGGCCACACAGCAAGGTACAGCAGGCAGTCAGCTCCCCAACACGGGTCTTCGGGCGCCCACCTGAGCACTGAGCGGGATTCAAGATTGCAAATGATAGCTGATTATAGCTGGCAGATTATAGTTTGCAGATTATAGCTGAATAATTTTCATTACATCAGTTCAAGGTTGTTACTTCTACAAGGGTATTTTCATCACCTCTCCAGCCCGTTGGTAGATGAGCCAACGCTGGCAGGAGTCATGACAGTGACACACAACTCTGGCTGCACTTTAGAATCACCTGGAGAGCTTTGAAAAATACCGTCGCCAAGCCTCACCCCAGACCAATCGCAGCAGAATCTCTGGGTCTCACAGATAGACCTTTTAACGCTCGCTGAGTGATTTGAATGGACAATCACAATTCTTCCCTCTCCCGAGAGATTTGCATTGCTCTTTCGAAGAATGCTGTCCGAACATGATTATCTTCAATTCCTTGTGTTTTTCTCTTGCAGAACAAAAATTGAAAAGAGAGGATGAGGGCTTCTGTGTGATCTTTCCCCTACTTTCTATAGTTTTGTGAAGCCCCCAGGTTTCCTTCTAATTAGAAAATTTACCTGGGCCAAATCCCCAGGCCATTCACAGGGTCCTTTCTACCCCTTCTAGTTTGCAAGCTGCTCCTATTGCAGCTTCTTAAAGGGGACAGTCTACTTACTTTGTCTCTGAAATATTTCAAAGTACTTCTGAAATTTTTTAAAAAAAGAACAGCTTTTAAAGTTATACAGGATCTTTCTCAAAAGGAAAAAACAAACTATATGACTAAGGCTGGGTTAAGACATTTCATCACTCTGCAGAGGCCAGAAAGGAAAGGGAAACCGAGCTGGCCGGGCCGTGGCTCCCCTCTTGACGGCACCCAGTGCGGATGTGCAGAGGTTGAAGCAGCGTCCTCCCCGCTCTTCCTCTTTCTCAGGGTCCCTTCTGCCTCTGATGGTTCCTTCGTCTTTGTCTCAGGCCATGAGGCCAAAGTGGTGGCTGAATCTTGCAAACCAGTGGGGAATTTGAGGGGTAAGCCCAAGGGGGTGGGTTAAGAGACACCCGGATTATTTTCACTCTGGGTCCCCAGGCTGAGTCAATAGAATCCAAACCCTGTGTTCAAGTTCACAGCTAGCGCTGAGGGAGCCAGGGTGTAGACCTAGGATTATGTGACTCCAAAACCACACAGCTGGGAAGATACAAACCTGGTCTCCACCTCAGCTCTCTCTGGCTTCAAGATCTGTTTTTTGTTTGTTTATTTTTTCCCATCCACACAGTCATAGTCTCAAATAGAGTAGTCCTCCCACAAAATGCTTTGAACTGAACTAACAGAGGGCCCGACTTCCAGGCAGTTGGTTCTGAAAGTGAATCTCTTCTCTAACCAGGACTCTGGGAACGAGGGACATTTTTCCATATATGAAAATCCAAGAGCTACTATTTTGCTGCAGTGTCCACTTACTGACTTTCAAAAATCCACACATGCTTTCTGAGCCATGTTCAAAGGTGTGGGTATGCGGGCAGGGGGCTGGTGAGGGTGATACAAAGGACTATGGTCCCCACCTTCTGGGAGGAAGCTCTGGTGTGTAACAGGTAACCAACGCTTCCAGCAGAGCCCCATAGGAGCCAAGGGGAAAGAAGACCCAGGGTGCTATGGTAACTTGCTCTCCCTTTTCCTTGCAGACCTAGACAGCAACACCAGGGGAAAGGAGTCATAGTTCACCCCAACCCGCAGTGCCAGATCAACCAAGTGAAATTCAAGTTTCAGGCTTCCAACCGAGTTTGGAAAAAAGACCAGACTATCATTGTTGGGAGGTTCTGCACTGCCCCTTTGCCTGTCCATGACAAGTAAGCCCCTTGTCTACCCCTGCCCCAGACACACCCACCCACAAGGATGATCCTGACCTTGGATGTGATGCTTGTTGACATACAATCTCATTATGGTGATTAGCTTCTTGAAGGAGAGATGACAAAGACCCAGGGTTTTCCTGAACTTCCTGCTGGGCCGTCTTGGGTTGAGATGTTAGGAAACAAAAGAGGGTAGACTTTAATTCCCCATTCCCATTTTAATATAAGAAATTCCATTTTATTGGACATATACATATTTATATTTATCTGAGATACATCTATATATTTCCATGGGGATCCAGATGTGAGGCCAGGGAAGATCAAGTTGGGTTAGCAGTAAGAGGAGGGAGTGGCAGCTCGGTGACACAGGGTCTGAGACTGGTGGGTCACGGTGAGGGGTGGTGGGAAGAACAGAAAGGCTGTGGCAGGGAGAGGCAAGATGGAGGCTGAAGCAATGGGGAGGCTGGGGAAGCATAGGGCTGAGGCTGGGATGGGGAGAAAAAAATGTTTATATATACGTATATGGTCTGTTTTATATGTGTTTGATTTAGTTTCTATGTAAGATTTTATTGGAACAAAGATTTCTCATTGCATATTTCCTCCCTCCTTAGCCTCCACTGGTCACACTCGTGGGTGTGGATCCAGAATCCCCTCTACTCTGCCTCTAGCAGGCACTTCTATTATGTATTTGTCTTACCACCCTGGGCCCTCGGAGCACCCTGGGCTCCTATCTAGATGATTGTAGACTTCTGTCACCTGACAGCATGGAAACACAAGAGCATACAACTCCTGGTTTCTCCTGACGAACCAGGAACCCGCCCTGAGCACATCCCCTCTTGTTGCTCTTCTCTTGCAGTAAAAGGATGGTCTGCTTACCTGAGCCAGTGAGCTTACAAGCAAGTGTGACTGCTTCTCACGACCTGAAAATGACATGTGGATAGTCTAAGCCTGGCCAGGATCCATCTCCCTGGATTTCAGAGTGGGAGGAGTTTAACTTATTCTAGGTCATCACTACTGAGAAGGAGGGCAAAGCTCTTGCTTATTTTCTGCATAATTAGCCACTTTAGAGGGGAGAAAGCATTCATTTTAGGGTTTTGCCTCCATTGCCAATTTGAAGAGGCGTCCAAGGATAACATTTCAGCTTTCCTGTTCATATCGAACTGCAATTGCCCCATATCGTTGGGCATCTGTACCTAAGATTCACTAGAAACATACACAGGGGAAGTGCTTTTTAAAAAGAATAAAACTCCATGGAATATCTGAATCATGTCATTGTTTTATTGGAATGGAATTCTGTTATGTACAAAATGTGTGATTTACAGTCCGTGGGGCTGGAGAAAAAAGTAGATGCTGAATCCTCTTTATTAAAATAGCAACCGAAAAGAAGTGCTTGGAAAAAGAGAGGGGGTGGAGCCTGGGGAGGGAGATGGTGCCGTTCACCGTCCCTTACCTTTGGCTTCGCTGGATATGTGGAAGGTCTGGGGGATCAGAGAGATATTTTGGGAATATAGGTGGATTTTCTTTGGGTCAGTGTTTCCCAAACTCTGATCTTTATAAATAACCTTCTATCAGCCACAGTCCATCAAAAAACAGATGGTGCGCTCAAACTGGGCATTTTGAGAATTTAGCAATAAGACTATTTACAAAAGTGTTAGTAGGGAACGGGGAGACCACAAGGTATGGTGCTGTTCCCTGGGGCAAGGGGCAGTGGGAGCTGCCACTCCCCTAGGTCTGAAGAGGCAAGAGGAAGGAGCACCAGAATCTGGAGACAGAGAGGGCTTCGGGACCTTTAATCAAGAGACACAGTCACTGGGCAGTGATCCTGCAGGGGGTGTCCCGGGAAACAGATTCTCCAGCCTCATTCTTCTTTCCTCCTGCATTGCTCCCCATTGAGTGACTCCAACCAGAAGCCAGAAGGCAAGAGGAACGTTGATGTGGCCGGGGTATAAAGCAGGGCCGAGAAGGGTGGAGAATGGGTGGGGTGGGGCTGGGGAACAAACAGAGAACTCTGGCCTCCACCTTCACCACTTTCTCCACAGCCGGGTACAGTCTGGATTCTTCCATACTTAATGGTTTTCTTTAACTCTTTAAAATCGTTTTAACCATTTTTAAGCGTACAATTCAATAGTATTAAGTACATTCACATTGCTGTACAATGATCATCATTATCCATCTCCAGAACTTTTCATCAGCCAAACTCAAACTCTGTACCCATTAAGCAATAACTCCCCATTGCCCCTCCCTGGTAACCACTATTCTATTTTCTGTCCATGAAGACTACTCTTCCAGAATATCTTACACAATCATACAATATCTGTCCCTTTGTATCTGGCTTATTTCACTTAGCATAATGTGTTCGAGTTTCATCCAGGTTGTAGCATGTGTCGGAATATCCTTCCTTTTTAAGACTAATATTCCATTGCACGTCTAAATCACATTTTGTTTTTCAATTCATCCATCATTGGACACTTGGGTTGCTTCCACTTATTGGCTATTGTAAATAATACTGCCATGAACATGGGTGTGCAAATATCTGTTCCAGAGTTTTTTTAAACTTCAGTAAATGCGCTTTGGAAGGAGACTGCTGACTTGCTAATGTTCTCCAGGCAGGGTGGGTGATGTAAACAACAGGCCGCAATTGGTCCCTCTGGGCCGAGCCACCCAGGTCACCAGCGAGGAAGCTTCGGCCTTTGTGCAGGCTGTGAAATGCAACCAAAGGACAGGTGACACAACGTGAATCCTCACATGCAAGCTTTACTTTCTGCACCGGCCACCACAGTCAGTAGGAGAATAACCAGATGTCTGAAGAACCTTCTGCAGGCTTGGAGTTCTTTTTTTTTCAAAACCCCAAACCTGTCTTTCCGTGACTCCACCCAGATTCCCGGCAAGAACCTCCCTAGAGACCCTGAGCTGTATTAGGCTGCCTTTCCTGTGCTTTCAGCTTCCTACCGTTGGAACATGGTCATCATCCTGGGAGACATCGCTCAGCACAGAGTTCTTGCTAGAATTCCCTGCTGCTTGTTGCTTTTCTTCAAAGTGTATATAAATTATCTTATGCTTCTGTGATCAAACCCATGCAATGTGATGCTGATGCTGATTGGTCTTACCCCGACCTGACCTGCTTTTCCTGTCATCCTTTCAGTTTTGCTTTTGGGCACAGCCCTGTCATTTTTCACTAACATCTTCTTACTTTAAAGCCCTATTAAACTCTCCCACGTTTTATTTTGCTCCCATCGGAGACTTTGGGTCATTATCTTAAATGGAAAACTAGTCTCCTTTATTATAAATTAATCCTAAAAATAAATACAATGAGAATATAATGTTTAGAATTCTAACTAGAGAGCATGGGCGCTGACGGCTCTATGCCCCAGGCCTGTCTTTTCCTTATTAAAAAGGGAAGATTAGCAGGTATGAGAGAGCTGTCAAAAATGTATCAACACCAAAGAGAGACTTTCTTCCATATACAATCAGTGGATTGAAAAAAAATTAAAACATGAATAACTCTTTCACCATGAGAGTTGACATTATTTAATGCTGGGTGTAAGTGCTACTCAAACCATCTGGCCCAGGGCTCCACGGCCCACACTTTGGGAAACCCGGCTTTAAGGAAGTGAGATGTGCGGGGGTTAGGAAAAAGGGAGAGGTAACAAGGAACTCTGCTTGGTGGCAGGGCAAGGCAGAGCGTGGGTCTCCCCTCCACACCTAGGTCGTTCACAACCTCTACTGAGATCTTTCCATGAAGAGAGACTATCGCTGAAGTAATTCAACCCAACAGTCAGATTCACTGCCAAGTGCAAGGCGCTGTGCAAAGTGTCACAGGGAATAATAAAAAATAATGAACCAGACTCAGCCCCTGCCCTCAGGGTTTCCAGACCCCTCCTCTCTCTGGTGACTCTACTCTGAACACATTGTTTGTCCCACAATCCCAGGACTGGGCTTGACATTCCAAGCCTTACTCCCACAGAGTACACCAGGAGTACAATTTCTCACGGTCTTCATTATAATCCTCCATTAATTTAGCTTAAAAGTCACTTTAGGGTTAACTACGATTCTTCAACCTTCAAAAATATATATTCTTATTAATCCAGCTTGCCTTCTTTCTTGTGGATTGATTTTTTTGAACCTGAAGGAACTTTGCATGTAACCCAATTCCATTACATATTGTTGTGGTCTCTCCAAATTGTCAGGAATTTTTCATGTCCTGATTTTATCCTTAAAAATATTTAGCTGTCCCTCCAAGCTTTACATCAGTTTTATATATATTTACTATATATATATATAATATATATGACTTTTCATAAATTCCTTTTTTATATCTGTGTCCAACAACTTGAAAGGAGAAGGTCAAGGGTAGAGCCCTACTTCTAGAAGCATCCTTGAGCCTGATGAGTACTCTGGGTCTGAAGTTTCACATGTATTTCTAACTCATGTTTTTCTTGAATACTTACATATTATGAGAAAAGTTTCAATACTTTATATCTACAATGATACCCTGATTTGAGAGAGAGAGCTAGGGAGACACAATACGATTAATTTAGCTTTAGGATGATTTAATTCCCAGGAACCCATGCAGGTTCCTAGTAATTGCTACTTCATTTCCTAAATATATACAAGCCACGTTTTGAGGGGTTTGTCCTGGACTTTGCTGTGAGTTAACATCGTCCTGATCTCTAATTTCAGGAATCTCTGCTCTCTCTCTTTTTAGTTACTGGAGCGAATGTATCCACTCACGTCTTCTAACTCTCTTCTCTTTGGGATTATTTAGAAATTACTGAGCAAAGACCCCAGTCACCCCCAAGGTCTTTCTAAAGCAAGATTGCAGTTCAGAGTCTGGGGACCAGGATTCATTTAAAGCAGCTGGGTGATCTCTTCTCAATCTTGGTCTTCATATTAATTTCCCCCCAAATCCATCCCACTTACTATATGTATATTTTAAATTACAATAGCAATACATGTTCATTTTAAAAACTCAAACTGTAGACATATAGTTACCATGGCCCTGAGGTAATCAATGTTAATAGCTTGGTGTATGTGCTTCTACACATTTCTCCATGGTAATACAAATACGTATGCACAAAGTTGTTTTTTTGTTTTCGGGTTTCTTAACACAAATGAAATCATAGCACATGTCCCATGTCTTCTCACACAAGGGAAACAATAGAAAAAATAAACAAATGGGATTTCATCAGACTAAAGAGCTTCTTCAAGGCAAGGGAAAACAGGATTGAAACGAAAAAACAACCCACTAATTGGGAAAAAATATTTACAAGTTATATATCCAACAAAGGGTTAATCTCCATGATATATAAAGAACTCACACAGCTCAACAACAAAAAATCAAACAACTCGATCAAAAAAATGGGCAGGGGACATGAACAGACATTTCTCCAAAGAAGATATACAGATGGCCAATAGACACATGAAAAGATGCTCGTCATCACTAATCATCAGGGAAATGCAAATCAAAATTACACTAAGATATCACCTTACACCTGTTAGAATGGCAAAAATAACCAAAACAAAAAGTGACAAATGTTGGAGAGGATGTGGAGAAAAAGGAACCCTCATACACTGTTGGTGGGAATGCAAACTGGTGCAGCCACTATGGAAAAAAGTATGGAGAATTCTCAAAAAATTAAAAATAGAAATGCCATATGACCCAGCCATCCCACTACTGGGTATCTATCCAAAGAACTTGAAATCAGCAATTCCAAAAGTCCCATGCACCCCTCTGTTCATTGCAGCATTATTTACAATAGCCAAGATGAGGAAGCAACCTAAGTGCCCATCAACCGATGATTGGATAAAGAAGATATGGTGTATATATATATACAACGGAATACTACTCAGCCATAAAAAAGGATAAAATTGTCCCATTCACAACAACATGGATGGATCTTGAGGGTATTATGTTAAGCGAAATAAGCCAAATAGAGAAAGATGAACTCTGTATGACTCCACTCATAGATGGATGTTAAACATGTAGACAAAGAGAACTGATTGGTGGTTACCAGGGGAAACGGGGGGTGGGGGGAGGGCACAAAGGGTGAAGGGGTGCACCTACAACATGACTGACAATAATGCACAACTGAAATTTCACAGGGCTGTAAACTATCATAATCTTAATAAAAAGTAAAAAAATAATTAAATCATAGCACATGTGTCACTCTGCAATTTTCCTTTGTCACTTAACAATGATATCATGAATATCCCTCCTGATAGTATACATAGATCTAATTTATTCACTGGAAGTATAATATTCCA